TTAAAAAAAAGATATCTACATATATTAAAATAACACATTGGCAAAAAAGAATATATTTTGAAAAAAGACATAAATAATAGCTTAATTAAATTTATTAGTAAGTGTATGTAAAAGAGGATATCCAATGTATGAAATATTATCTTCAAATACAATGCATTTGGCTTCTACTTCTGATAAATTAATTATTTTAAATGAGTCTTCCAGTTTATACATTCTATGTATTTTTAATTTCTGAAATTCACAAGGATAACTGAAATAATTACTGTATTTTGTAAATTGCTTACAAATTAAATCGGAACAATGTATTTCTTGTGCATTTTTAAGAACAATATTGAAAATTTGTATAATATTTCCATTTTTTAACAACGCATAACGATCAGCTCTATGACAAGCCACAAAATGATACTTGTCAATAATTATCTCTTTATACTGACTTAGATTAGAGCTTTCCATGCCAGCAACAAGTGGCCCACTTTCATGTTTTCGTTTTAATACCCAATTAGAAATATATTTCCCAGGAATGGAAGCATTTTCAGAAAGTCGTCGTGATAATTGTGCTAATGGTTTTTTCCCACCCCGAAGAGATCTTTTTATTTTCCCAAATAAATTTTCAAAATCAAACGCACTTATATCATCTAATGCTCTATTAAAATTTCTAACATCATCTGGAAGATGAACAAGATTATGAACATTGTAAATTTTTGTATTTGGTCCAAAGAACTCATCAAAAGTCTTAACAAATTCTATCAGTAAAGCCTGTGCATAATTACATAATTGTACTGCTAAGTTTGGATGTGAAAGAATAAATATAGCAGTATGAAAAATCTTAAAATGTTCCATATGATTATTTGAAATAATTCCGTTCAAAACAAAAAGTGAAGTATACAAGAGAAATTGGCGTAGTTCAGTAGCTTTCCATTTTTTTATTTTATTCAAATTTTGTGGTTTCCTCGAAAAATCTACAGGAATGTATTTGTGCAACGATTCTAATCTTTTGGATAAGATATTAATTCTTCTTGCATCTAATTTACAAAAATAATTATTTCCTTGCACCATTTGAAAAAGCATTCTTCTCATAACTCCTAAATAAACTAAATGCATTGGATCTAATATGAATTTTGTAACCATAGGAAAATTAATCTCTGTTAAAGGAGAAATACCATTGTGATGCCCCAACTGCGTTTGTAGCAAAAAACTCTCATCTGTTCTTATTCGAACATCGATTTCATTAAATATTGTTGCACCAAACAGATGTGTTCCTTTTTGTGTGCATCTTTCGCAACCATAAAAACCATTATGACCTTTAATTACTTTAACAAAAGCTCTAGCAGGTGCATCACAAATAAAGCCTAAAACCGTAACTGAATATAGTTTTGTATCGATAGCTAGGCCAACATCACAAAGATGTTTGTACTCTTGTATAAAATCTTGCAGATATTCATGTACATCTGGAGGTTTAGATTGGCCGCAGTATACAGCAACAATGAAAGGGTCAAGTTTACAAAATGATTGATCTATTTTGCAAAGTATCGGCCAAAATTGAATTGATGAACTATTGGCTAATGGCAGCCCATCAATATTAACAAATAAGTTTATTTCTTGTAACGATTTCAATAAGGGTACTTTTACAAACAAAGATTTTAAGTTATTGGCAATTCCAAAATAACAATATTTTCCACCACACATATCAAGAACAGAAGTTTTTCTTGGTGTTTTTAATAAAGTCCTAGCGTCAGTAAATTCAATAAGATTGTATTTCTTTAATATATATAATAGAGAATTCAAAGCGGTGTGAGAGATTCTATATTCAAGAGCCCACTGGGCAAGATTACTTGCTAAGTTAGGATTTATATTTACTGTAGAATTTGTTAATACATTATAACTATTACTAACAGAAAATTCTGCAATATTATTATCGTTAGAATTTCTTTCAAAATCATCTTCAGATAAATAATATTCAATAGAAGAACATGAGCTATCAGATTCATTATTAACACAATTAAAATTTAAACTTTCATCCTCATTTATTAACCAATCAGAAAGGAATTCACATTCATTGAATTGCTGGCAATGCTCTAACAAGTCAGAATTAAGAGATTCTTTAGAATATTTTGATCTAATTGATTCTTCAACACTATTTGTTTCCTTATCCTCTGTCTCAAGTATTGCAAGATGTTTTTTAACTCTTTCATTAATTTTTTTCCATTTAGTACGTCTCTTTGAAGACATTGTAAATATTAAATATTATATATATTACCTTTTATCTATTAATAACTATATATTATTTATTATTTATTGTATTAACTATATATTTATTAACTATTTATTAACAGTAACCGTTAAATGATATATATACGAATGTCGTTTTTAGAGGATATTCCCAATATAACCAATATTTAGCCAATGTGTGCCAATGTATTGCCAATGTACTGTGCTACTAGGGGCCCGATCATACAATTTCGCAAGCAGCGGGAAATAAAGTATTACAATGCAATAAATGCGGAAAACTAGGGCATCACGGACGAGAATGCTGAGATATTCAAACCGATTCTTCTTGCCGAAGCCACAGGGACAATCAAGAATAAATACGCTCGAAAAACATTGCATCTACTGCAAAGAATCAGGTCTTGGTCGAGATGAATGCTGGAGTCTACACGGACGCCCTGGGATAGTACAATCTAACCGGACGAAATCAAACGAAGAAAAAAACCACAAAATCGTAATAAAACGAATGGACAACGAAAAAAAATACAACGCAAGACCAGGATGAGGAAGAAGACGAAGAGAATACAAGACAGCCGAGACCAGCCTTCGAGTATCAAATGTCGCAAGTAACAGAAAAACCGCAAACAAAAACTGGATTAGATCTAGTAACTCTTCCCATCCAGGAAGTTAAAAAGGGGAAATTAAACCTACTGTTTGACACAGGAGCAACGGTTACATTAATGAAGTTAAGAAATCTAAAAGGAGAAACCAGGATTTACGAGGAGCAAATGGCACTCACTGAAGTTACAGGACACAAAATGAATACAATAGGAAGAATCAAGGCAACGATAATCCTGAAGAACCGAGAAATACGGCACTTAATTTATATCGTGAAGGACGACTTCCCAATTGATTATGAAGGAATTCTAGGAGTAGACTTTTTACAAAAACACAAGGTAACCTGCGATTATAATAAGAAGCAGATACAGCTATCAGATACGATATTAAAATTATATTCGTACCGAGCATTAACCTTAAAACCGCGCAGCGAGACAATTATTCAAGCTACTACCGACTCAAATAAAGTAGGTATAATACGTGCTGAGGAAACACAGCCTGGAGTTTTTATTGGCTATTGCTTAGTAAAGCCAGAAGAATTTTCCTGCCCAATCAGTGTTATAAACACTACCGAAGAATATATTAAACTACCAACTCCATGCGTAACAGTCGAAGAAATAAAAAATACAGCGACTCAAATATGCAATACTCAAACACAGCAGGAGACTACAACGCTTTCAGCGAACTAATAAAAAATTTACTACGTATACAACACCTAAATCAAGAAGAGGTAAAAACACTGCTAGAAATTTGTGAAGATTTTAGCGACATATTTTATATCGAAGGAGATGCACTCACTTATACTCCTACTATCATACATGAAATTACGGTTCAAGCCAGCAGTGCACCCGTAAATATACACCCGTATCGCTTACCAGAAAAACATAAACAAGAAGTAAATCAGCAAGTAAAAGGCATGTTGAGAGACAAAATTATTAGACCAAGTACCAGCCAATGGAACACTCCATTGCTAATGGTCCCTAAGAAGAGCGATGCGTCAGGAAAACAAAAGTTACGAATAGTCGTAGATTTTCGAAAGTTAAACGATTTAACAATAGGCGATGAAAAAAAAATTAAAGCAAAAATCCAAAGCATCTTTAGTAATAACTGACACAGCTAACCGACCTTTCGAAAAATGTACGCTAGATATTGTAGGACCATTAACCGTAACAAACAACGGAAATAAATATGTTCTAACCTTCCAAGATAATCTTACGAAATTCAGTAAGGCAGTTCCTTTACCTAATCAAGAAGCCTCCACCGTAGCAAAGGAATTCGTAGTTAAAATAATATTTGAACACGAAATCCCTGACAAAGTGCTAACGGATCAAGGTACGAACTTTTTAAGCGATATGTTTAAAAACATATGCAAACTATTAAAAATAGAAAAAATACAGACAACCGCATATCATCCAGGAATGTGTTCAGATTCCCCACCCGGCAGGTGAGGGTAGGATGGACTGGGAGTGGGCGGAGCTATTGTCGGGTGGCCTCGGTGGACTGCAGAATCTGAACGCACTTGGGGACCGTGTGAAGGCGCCAAACAAACAAAACGTCCAACGACAAACACCTAACCTTAAAAATGAATCGCCGAGCAATTATAGCATTAGCTGTGACTATTAGCAATAATTTTTTACAAGAGATAATGGGAAGTGATAGTGACAACAGTGATGTTAGTGATGCCTCTGACGAGGAGTTGGATATGCGGATACATTTACAATTGCGAGGACCCCAACGCAAACCTGCAGAATTGGGAGCAGAAGAGGGGGCTGCTTAGGCGTAGTGGTTTAGGATGGACTACTCAAGGAGGCTTCCATTCATACTGGTGGTGAGTCAAGACTCATCGCTGAGCGGCTACGGGCGCCAATTTTCAATCGTTATGATTTGGACCGCTCTGGAGACGTGCTGGGGATTTCGTCTCTCCGTGACAATCGGCACTGCATCCATTGAGCGGAAAGCGAAAGACTCGGGTTCGATTCCCGATTCAGCCACTTGTACCTCGCATATTTTTTCAGACCCGCAAATGTTGTTTTCTAACAATTATTTGTCGGGCTGAGGAAGTGTGTAAACGCCCTACACAGACACGACAGTGCCGCTGCCACGGAAGAGATGGATGCTTGGTTCGTGCCTCCTCCCGCCTTAAATCCCCCCCTCGCTTCGGAAGAATTATATATTATATGGAACGTACAATCCCACAACTTCATCATGAACAGTTCAGGGAGCATTTTCGCATGACTCCTACAACGTACAATCGGCTCGAACAGAGATTGGCACCAATCTTGCAAGGAGATATTGATGTGAAATCTCACATTCCAGTCAGAAAGCAATTGCTTGCAACCCTTTGGTTGTTGGCTACACCAGACTCTAGGTAAGTTCCTCTTAAAATATTTTTCTAAAGAGACAATGAAAACACAAGCAATATGCAATCAGAGGTTTTAAAGTGTGTTATGTTGATATGTGATTTACGACCATGAAAATTAGAAGTATATGAGTATGAACCTTGTCTGTGAATAAGTGTATTTGTTTCAGGTCTGTAGGAGAAAGATTTGACATAAGCAAAAGCTCACTGAGTGTCAGTTTCATGAGGGTTGTACAAGCCTTGAACGACATCGCTGCAGATGTTGTACAGTGGCCAAGAGGAGACAGATTAGCAACAGTGAAACAAAAATTTCAGACGTTGTCAGTGTTACCTGACATAATTGGGGCTGTGGATGGTACTCACATTTCCATAAAACAGCCGCATGTAAGTTTTTTGGTTTAAAAGACAATGCAAGTCCTTCTCTTAATGGGTTTATCCAATGTTCTAATTATGATATGATTTTATGCAGAAAAATTTGTTAAGCGGGTTTGAAATTAAAATAAATATGTGATATCTCTGAATATCGGATTTGCTTAAACTTGTCATAATTTTTTTCAAAAAGACTCTCTGTCCTACAAGATGTACAAGAAAAAATATGCTGTTATACTTCAGGCTATATGCGATTCTGAGTTGATGTTTCTGGATTGCTTTACCCAGGATCTGTCGGTGATATAAGGGTATTTAGGAATTCTGATCTTTGATCAGAAGTGCAGAGGGATAGACAATTGTATTTCCCTAACGAAGAATACATCATTGGTGACAAGGCTTATCCTGTCTTACGTTGGTGTATTTCTGCTTTTCGTGATCGTGGTAATCTTACAGCGGTGAGTACATACTTTGTTTGTATATTCGATGTTTATATTTATAAAATCATATTAGCTTGTCATTTTCTAATCTTCCTCACATAGTGAACATTTTCTTAATTTTTTTGCTGCATGTCCGAACCATGAAATTATCAGAGTATTTTTCCTTTGCAGGCTCAAAAAAGGTTCAACGACATACTGTCTAAAGTTAGACAAGTTATTGAACGAGCATTTTCATTGCTGAAAGGGAGATTTCGGAGACTGAAACATCTAGACATGAATAGAATAGACATGATCCCTTTTCTCATAATTGCTGGCACAGTTCTTCACAATATCTG